ATATCCAGTGCTTTGAGATATCCTTCTGAACCGAGACTTTGGACGTTCACAGCGATTTCCACTAGAACCTCTTGCAATCTTGTAATCTTTATGTGCCTGTCTACCACAGGTTGTGCAGGTCCAAATGCGGAGGCCTTTTCACAGTGACAGCAAGCCATGTTCGCGACCGTTTTAGATTGTACCGCCGGATCGCTCAACCAACGACATCCTTGAAGGACACTGTGAACATTCCGATGCTTCACCGCCGCCACCTGAAAGTTTTGACTGAAAGACGTACGCCGGTGATGATTAAAAGAACAGTCACAGCTGCTGCCATGGTCTATGCAAATACGGTACACAGCGGGCCCGCATTCCGACGCCACCCGGTACCGTCCATCCTGCCCGACACCGACAGTCGGCTTGCGCTGAAAATGCTTCTTCACCATTTCGGGAGCATATGCTGTCAATCTGCTCACACGTTCAGCCACCCTGGATCCAACAACGAGTGCTGCAGTACTTCACATGCACACCGTAGCTACCTAAGTGCTATGACGACCTGCCAGGCATTTCGCACGCTGAAAGAGCACCTCGAAAAGCGCCCGTAAGGAGGAACGCTCTCTCAAATTGCGTGTAAGGTGTATACTTCCTTTCTCCACCCGAGTAATGTAAATGCATCCCAAGCCCATTAACTGCCGTAATTCTTGCACCGTCTAGCATCTCCACCAAGACATCCAGATTCTACGGAACTGATCAAAGCGTCCCGTATTTTGCTGCCGTATGGTTTCCAGCAATCCGTGAAAACGCGATTCCTCAGGCGTGCATATCAGGTTCCTTAGCAAAAGGATCAGAGAAGCACTTTCCGCTGGGTTGGCAACTGACAGCTGACAGCACCGTCTGTTTACGTCCTACATGTCCACACGGCACGACAACATGCACGCCTCCTGAAAATCCTCCCTGAAGGCATTGGCTTGCTACGCGAATTTGTCAACCACAATCGAACGCACAGCTGCCGTGCTTGGAACCATTGCACGCATGGCTTTTACCGCCTCCACGTAACTCTCCGTCGTCTCATTTGGCAACAAGGCGTAAAAGCAGGACATCCCCACCCTCGTGAGGGAAAAGAACATGCAACACCGTAGGATGTATCCGCCGTCATTACCCTGATGCGCAGCATTCGCCAGGATCACTTCGCCATATCCTACAATCAACTCACGAATGTGCGCAGGCACGAAGCAAAGGAATCGTACCTCCAGCTGATCCATCACAACCGTACAAGAAACTTCATGTTCCAACCAGTTACTTACATGCTATACCTCGGTACCTTGTTCCGCCTGACACCGATGCCCCAGATGATATAAAGCACGTCTGGTAATACAGATGCCATACTCCGTTAACACGAAGTTCATGATTTCACGTGTCTGACGAAACGACTTCAACCAATTTAATATCGCAGCCTCCTTTTCGCATCAAGCCGCCGATTAACCGGCTAACGTCATGGTTTCCACAACTGGAACACATGCGAATGCCCCAAGCTGCCGCGGCCAATTTCATAATACCTGCTTTTCAGCACCACGGAAAACCGTGCCTTGCAGTTGTAGCACCTGTAACTATAAGATTCAACAGCAGTCAACAATATCATGCATCTTACCGTTTCTCTTTCATATTATAACGCATGATGTGCATACATCGAGTAAAAATGAAGAAAGCGGTGGATGAACTTAGATGTCGTCGTGATAACGGTGAGACGGACCCACATATCGTGGATTTTCGCGTGGTTCGAAAAACGCCAAGAACTAGTTGGAGGCCACTCCTTGTAATGCCCAGTCGTTAGAGTTGAAGAATGTACTGCGCGTAATTTCTTCCAATGTGCGCAAGCTCAGAAACAAACTAGACGAAGTTCAGCTTTTTGCCTCCATGAATCGGCCGGATCTTATAGCTTTCACCGAAACCTGGTTGTCCTCGGATATCCTGGACTCGGAGGTGCGGATCCCTGGATACCACCTTTACCGGGCAGACCGCCATGGAGGAAGACCTGGGGGAGGCGTGATACTCTACTGGAAGACGGACTTCAAGGCCCATCTGGTTGAAGCTACCTGTGGCAGCGATGGCGACTTCGAAACTCTCTGGTGCCGTGTTCATGACGGATGCAGATCTCTCATGGTCGTTGTAGTCTACAGGGCCCCATTGGGTTCCGGAGCTTGTCTGCTGGACGCGATCAAAATGCATGGTGGAGGTAAGGACTGTTTATTGCTGGATGACTTTAATGCCCCGGGTATCGACTGGGACCAACTGCATTGTGTTCCCGCTTCAAACGTTTTTGATTCCGCTCTTCTAGAGACGGTTAACGAATGTAACTTATTCCAACATGTCACAGCGCCTACTCGTATAATTGCAGGACAAACACCCCATATCCTCGAACTTGTACTCTCACCGGCACAATCAGATGTCACCGACCTAGCCATTCTTCAGCCTATTGGTAAAAGCGATCACTGTGTCATTACATTCCTCTGGACTCGACGACTTACTCTCCACAACCAAGGTCGCCTCCTCAGAAATTTCTGGCGTGTTGATCCCCAACGCTTACAAACGGCTGCCAGTAGTGTGGACTGGAGTATGCCCGAATCCCTGAATTTGGACGATGAGTGGAACCTCTTGCACTCCAAAATGGTTTCGCTTGTTGAGCAGGTCGTTCCTGTCTACAAAAGACCTTTTGCCAGGGGTCCTCCATGGATTGATCGAGAACTGAGGTGCCTAATGAACAAAAGACGGAAACTGTGGGTCCGATTTAAGCTCACGCAATCCGGGTCTGACTATTCGGAATATAAAGTGGCCAGGAATATCTGCAACTTGAAAAAACGAGAGAAACGGCAAAAGTACGAACTCGGTTTGGCCTTGAAATCCAAGAGAACGCCCAAGGCACTCTTCTCTTACCTGAAGAGAAGTACCAGAGCAGGCAGTGGTATTCCCGCTCTGTATTCCTTGGCTCACGTGGGTTTGCTTGACGATGATGCTGCGGAAGCCAGTCTCCTGGCCATGCAATATGCATCTGTTTACTCGATGGAGACGCCGTTTCCCAGTGACGCGGTGCCAATACTCCCTTCTTCGTTTGAGCATGTAGAAATGAGCGCTGATGCCATTGCCAAAGGTATTCGTGAATTATATCCGAACTCCTCGCCAGGTCCTGATGGGTTGCACCCGCTGTTCCTCAGGACTGTGGCCAATTTCATTGCCGCTCCCGTTTGCCGGATATTTCGACATTCCCTTGAAGTTGGACGGCTCCCGATCGCTTAAAAAGTGGGGATTGTTAAACCCATACACAAAGGAGGGGATCGTCAAAATCCTGCCAACTATCGACCTATCTGTTTAACGTCAATATTGTGCAATGTAATGGAGAGGATTCACAAGCGGGCACTTCTTTTCCACCTCGAGAACCTTAACGTCATCTCTTGTGCGCAGCATGGTTTTCGGCGGGCGCGCTCCTGTTCTTCGAATCTGCTTGTGGCCCGTGAAAGATGGGCGAAATCATTAGACGCTGGGAAACGTCTGGATGTTATTTTTGTCGACTTCAGCAAGGCCTTTGATAAGGTTCCTCATGAAAGACTCCTTTATAAACTACGATTAATCGGTGTTTCTAGGAACGTTCTCGCTTGGATCGCTGATTTCTTGGATAACCGGACAATGCGAGTCGACGTGAACGAGACTTACTCCGCTCCCGTGCTCATGACTAGCGGTGTCCCACAGGGATCGCTTCTGGGCCCAGAAATTTTCAAGATCTTCATCAATGACCTTCCGGCGGAACTTCAGTTGGATTGCTTGATTCACGCTGATGACTTGAAATTGTGGATGGAGGTATCCTGTCTTGACGAGGCGGACCGATTACAGGCTACACTTGACACGTTACATGAGTGGTCAGTCAAATGGCGATTGCCCATAAATCGCGATAAGTGCTCGGTCCTTCCCATTGGTGCTTCTGAGCCTTTCGGGACGTATCACTTCGGTGGGACGTTGCTCAGAACCTCAATCCTAGAAAAAGACCTCGGCGTGTTGGTGTCATCTGATCTACGGACTACACAGGACACGTTACGAAGGGTTGCTGCTGCCAACAGGATGTCCCACGCTATACGACGAGCCTTCTCGCGTTTGACTCCGGATATCTTCCGACTGTTGTTTACTTCCCATGTCCGCCCCATTCTCGAATACGGATTACCTGCCCTCTTCCCTCTCACCAAGTTCGAAGGTGACCTAATTGAGAAGGTGCAACGGCGTGCATCGAAATACATCTTGGAGATACGGGACTTGCCTTATCCCCGAAGACTTCAGCGGATGAATCTGTTCACCCTGGATTATCGCCGACGTCGCGGTGACCTGATTTTCACCAGGCGCATCCTGAGAGGAGAGATGGGGACGGAGCTGCAGGCGTGCTTTCAATCCAATCCAAACAGTTCAACTCGAGGCCACAACTGGAAACTGATTAAGCCCAGAAGACTTCGGATTCACCCTGCTCACGCTCTAGCAACTCGCGTAGTCAACGATTGGAATAACTTGCCGAAGTATGTGGTCGAGGCCCAGACGGAGGAAGGTTTCAAGCGAATGTTAGACTCTTATCTTTTGAGTACGATGGGTCCTTGCAGTTTCCAGTGTAGCTGTCAAGGTCCCTTGTGGATTACCGCATAACATCGAATCGCGGCCTCCACACAATGATCGGGAAGCGATGGAGCTGACAAAGGATTTCTCCTTCTGCTCTCTACAATCCTATGAACCTATGAACCTATGAATGTATCGATAACGAAAACCATCAGGGAGATCGCTTTCAGTCATTTGCCTATGCCCTGCAGTAATCTCCGTGAATCTACAAAATGAGCTTGCAGTTTCCCTTTGGAACCTCATCAAATCGCGTTGAAACTCCTCATTTGCCTCGTAACCACCAGTTATCATGCAAAGAAATGGATCGTTATAATCCTGCATGGCGGAGGACACGAAACGCGCAGAAATGTACAAGCTAAATAGCTCAAATAAACAAAGAACTTACACTGTATCATTCCTTAACTAAGACGCATGTTGACATTGCGCTTATCTTACCCTTACCGTTTACCTGACAAAGCAACTTCCTTCTGCTCCCTACCAACCAATGAATCAATGAATATGCTATATCTAAAACTACGTGAGCATGTTGTACTGACTGTACCAGGCAACTTTCACGGACAATACTTTAGTTGTCTATCGTTAGAAGGTCGCTCCGGAGATCTTCAGGATGCTAAAATGAATATTGTGCTTTTCTGCTCAGGTATAAAGTACATTTTGTTTTATTACTGTGTATGCTACTTATTTTCGTGCTTTTACTTATTTTTGCACTAATAATGGTGGTAGGTATAATAATTCCCACCTAGTGGGAATGTTTGCACTTGCCAAAATGCGAAAATTATTCCCAAATGAAACGGAGACGTTCATCAGTCATGGAATCGGATGCTACACTCAGCATGCATCCTTGAGGGACCTTCCCCGTCCGCACGAGTGACCAAGAAGTGTCCGCTGGAGTGACTTTTAGGTGTCCCTGCGTGACCAATTTTTGTGCCCCATGCAGCTTCATTTAGACACTTTAGACGATTTTTGGTCGCTTAAATGTTCTTTTCTAATCCACCCATAACCTATTCATTTTTCCTATTTCCAACTACTAACATTTATCCCTATTTCCACTCAGCAGCTTGATCTAGGTCTCTCTGGAGGAAGGTTGCTTGTAGAGGGTTCCGTATGATGTGGTTTATTCGCCGCTCCCTCGGTGTCCTAACGGCCAATATTTGTACAGCTGTTAACTTTTGTGCGACCCCACGTAAAATACTGTATCCATTCTTGTCCACCTTGTCTTGTAAGGGACAAAATGGAACTGGAGTGGGTTTTGCGAGTGAATACGTTAGTGCATAGATTACTGGAGCAAATGTATCCCGTACGTTTGCTTAACTTGGGTATGTACTTAATGCACTACCGCAGAATTAGAGGAGACTTGATCCTCACTTACCGTATCCTAACGGGTAAGATCCGTCCAGACTTGTCCTGGCTATTTTGTCCCGCCAAGCTGCCTAGTCTCCGAGGTCACCCGTTGGAGCTGCACAAAATGCTTGTCACACCGGGTTATTGAACGTTGGAACTCTTTTCCGGAGCACTTCGTTAGGGAGTCTGCGGTTGAGGTTTTCGAGCGTCAGTTAGATGCTCTTGGGAGGCAGTACCAAATCTTCCACTTCGCCTGACCGACTTGTATCTTCAACTTTCCGTTCGTAATTTTTACAATTTCTCACTTTGGTATTATCATTATTTAGCTGACATTCCTCCTCTTGTTTTCTTAGCTTGCCCTTCACTCTTTTACTTCACATAAACCGGCCTGACATTGACTGCTGGGCAGGAAAGTGTGGACAGTAATTGGTTGGACAGGGTGTGATACGGTCTTTGTTTTAGGCTTTCCAACATCTCAAACAGACCTGTCGATTTCCGATCCGACGATACGCAAAAGAGGAACATTCACGGGATTATCCTATCGTTCCGGTTCCAACTTAACTTGAACTTGAACTTGCATTGAAACGAATTTTATTCCCAAATTGTTATTATACAGTGGTATAACCCTTAGGCTAAACCAACAACGTTTTTTGTGTGACTGAAATTCGTCCCAATTAGAACGGCTTATAGTCACAGGATGGTTTTCTCAATGCACCATTATTATATATTTTTAGGTGCAATTTTTCTGCTTCCAACTATCGTCAACATTAAGCGGAAATCCATTCCCAAAGTTTAAGCACAATACAATACAATGAACTAAACCGAGAATGTTTTCGAGTGACCAAAATTCAACCAGGGTCCAACTGGGACGGCTGGGGGCACGAGAATTTGTCACTCAAGGAGCTTCAGTGGTCATTCGCTGAGTGAAATTACAAGTACCATACAAAGTAAGGTCCTTTAGACAAAGAAAGGTACCAAATTTGCACAATTTTGTTTAACGGCCGATCTGGACAGATCACGTTATTTGTGTTCATATTAACTTTGACTATGTGTGTATGACCAAAATCATGCCCAGATGGGACGGCTGGCCGTCCATCTGTGCAGGCAGGGCTGTCCGCATATGACAGCCAGCCGTCTCTGCTGTCAGCACAGAGGACAGCCAACGGTCCCATTCGGGGGCTTTTGGTCACTTGCGAGGTGAAAGTAAATATAAAGATAAATGGCATATTCAGAGATGTTAAGTAAGATTATATGCCGGGAACTGCTAGTGCAGGGCCCATGAGCATTGTTTGGTTGAACGTAGATTGTACCGTATATGTTGATTTGGCTCCTTGCAGATCACCCCACAAATTTCACTCTGGTACCAACGCCGCTTTACAAAGTGGAGCAATCACGGCATTCTCATACTGTTCTGATTCCACTTGAACTTGGACTTATCACCGCCGTAATTTTTAGTAGGATCCTGATTTCAGTCAGCGGGTATTATCCTTTTGACACCCTGAGTGATCATTTTTTGTGTCCAACTACGCACGAATTTTGGCCACTCAGAAACTTTCCGTTTAGTCTGTCGGCTGTACTGTTACGTAGTTATAAATTGGGAATCGCTTTCCGCTTAATATTGACGGTATTTGCACCCATGAAAAATACATTCGCGGTATATGGTAAGGGTGTGTTGGAAAAAGCATACTGAGTGATCAAAGTCGTCTGAAAAGTATCCAATTAAGACGCCGGGGCGCAAAATTTGCTCACCCAGGGAGTTCCAACCGTCAATCCAGCGGCCACGTTTCGGTCACTCGTGCAGATGGGTCATTTTGGTGTGTTTCTGCTCACCCACGGACGCAAGAAATGAATATGAAAATAAATAGTATAATATGTCCAAATATGTTAACGCCGCTTTCCGTTGCCCATGGACCTTGTTTTTAATAAATTCGTAATTTTAGCACGGGTGACCGTTTTGACGCCTTTTTATGTCCATGGTTGCCCCATTTGAACAAACTTGAGACGAATATCGGTCAGTCAAAATTTCGGTTTAGTATTATGTTTTCAGTATTGCGTAATTAGGATTTCGGAAATCGACTTTCGCTTATTGTTGACAACATTTGCAACCAGGAAAGGTGCATTCACAGGGTATGTTAAGAGCGTGCCGGGCAAATTTTTATGAGTGACCGAAATTCGTCCCAAATGTGCCCAACCGGGACGGTCGGCTTCATAAAACCGGCCACTCACGGCGCTCCAACCGTCACTTCAGCGGACATTTTTGAGTCGCTCCTGCCTGCGGGGATGGCGTGGATATAACTATAGTCATACCACCAGAGAGTAATAGGTATCTTTCCCACTCGTAATTATGTATTTTGACGACATTGTGTGCGTCAGTTGCGTTAACCTGCTATAGGCGGCGCAAACAGGTGGGGGCAGTATGATAGAAAACATAAAGCAAGCCTTAAAGTAACTAGAAAGAGACCAAGGGAGGGTGCTACGGGAAAATTTTCCCACGATCCGTTGACAGTCAGAACCATGTTCAGTTATACAATCAGTTTTTTGTTTTCTAAGTAGTTTGTTTTATTAGCGATCGGAATCACTGCAACACACTGAGATACACATTCGCTATTGTTCCGTTCCAAAGTGTAGGGAATCCATTTGCCACGGTTCACATTGCAAAGATAACGGTAAATAACAGCAATATATAGTAGCGTTGAATGTAAATAGAATGCGAAGAAAATGACAGCAAGAAAGAAATTCGGTAAACTAATTATCATGGAACGCAACTTAACAACCAGATGCAAGAAACCGAATGCAGGAACTCCATTGACTGCTTGACTGCGCCATGTCTGATACGGTCTCCATCCATTGTGAACCATCCCGAGGCCCTCATCTAAGAAGACGGCAAGCAAAAGCCTAACCAAGTCTCTCAGTCAATTTCTTCATGTCTATGCCACGTCATGGACCGGCCACCTCGCGGTTTCGCCCAACTTGGTGCAGCCATGGCGTATAATGCACACCGAGAAAGCTGCTCAACGAGCATACCGAGAATATAGCTTAAGCAACGTAAACGATTAAGTGGCCACTCAAGTGAGGAACCAGAAGGTTTCTTGCTAATAACCAACTAGTGGACCTCAGGATTGCTCATCCGGTGTTTTCACCAGATGTGAGCGATACTCCGCAAGCGCCGTTGGTCAAACACGGCGAATCGTTTAATTTCTTCGCCGTGCACTGTCGAGGTCTCTAATCCATACAATAAGACCGGCCTTATCGCATCGTTATACACTGTAACTTTCACCGACAACGTGATACCCCTTCGTCTTCATCGATGATTGAGTCTCCGGAAAGCCACATGGCCTTGCTGATACGAGTACTGACTTCCTCAGTGATATGACCACCAGAGGTTTCCCAGCTACCAAGTTAAGTGAACCGATCCACTTCATCCAGTAAGTGTACGGTGATAGCTGGAACCGGAAGTCTGTCCAGTCCTGCAACTGTATTTTGTACTTTGAATGTGCAGAGCAAATGCAAAGCATACAGCACTACGCGTCGGTCTAACCAGTATTGTTTGCGTAGCTACTATCATATCGAATGAGGTCTATGTCATCTGCACACTCCAGCCCCTAGGTTTAAAGATCGCAAGTCTGCCTTGTAATCCGAGTGCGCGGTTAGGAACCGCGTCGGGACTGCGCGGTGCTTGTTGTATCCTTAGTCCACATTCGACCGTTGGTGGTTGAGCGGCAGCGAAGCGTTGATACTACTTACCGGCGTCATTCAGTCCGTCACCTGGCAATGTCCATTTCAGTAGAGTCTGAAAGAACCGAGTGGTTCATGATGATTTCAATGACAAAGTTTAAGAGAAACGGAGATATAGTACAACCTTTGTGAACCCCACAGTTTCCAGTGTACACTTACACCACTTCGGGGTCACGGTAGAGATACTGCATAATGGAAAGGAATTTTTCAGCACGTCCTACGTTGATAGTGCCACAACCTGCCGCGGTCAACAACGTCTAAAGCGGCCTTCAACCCAAGGAAAACAACCATGGTTGGTCGTCTCTATGTATCTGCTCTGACATTTGGCGAGGGGTAAATTTGTGTACTATACAACCACGGATAGGACGGAAGCCTGGCTTTCATGGATTCGGTTCTCACGCGGACCAGTAAGTATTCGAAGATTGACACTCGTGAGAAGTTTGCAGGCAATGAAAACAATGCTAATGCCTCAATGATTCACGCACAAAGTGCACTGACCCTTCCTGAAGATGAGTACGACAGTTGAAAGTTGTCGTTTTCAAGGCACCTTCAGTGTTCCAAATC